GAAGGCATCTCCTCAAGAAAACTCGTAACCTTTCTTGAGAAAAGGAAGCTAATAAGATTCCTTGTTTGATCAAGGAAGATTTATGAAACATGAAATAAGGAACAAGGAATCCTTATTCCTCAAGAAAGGACTATGAATACGGGTATTAATATTCGAAACAACAAAAACAAGTTGACACTCGAAGGCACTTGGGTAGTATTCTAGTATTTTCGAACGCAGTCTAGTGATTTTATTGAGTAGTCTTGGATATCCTGTCGACGCCTTACCACTGCTAACTACTGCTCAGTGCTCATCACAAACCTTACCGATTATTACTGGAACGATTGTTAACGCTGTCTTGATCTTCAGATTTCCATTGAAAATGAGCGACGATGATCGTGATATTGATATCGAGAGTGATGTAAGTAGCACGTAAGGGCGAGTTTGCTCTCGCTAGAATTTCTGATTAAACTTCCATCTTTTTAGGATGGCGATGATTCGGATTCGAGACTGAGGCACTCCAACAACACGCAATACTACTCTCAGGTGAGATTCCATGATCTGCCCTGGAATTTTTCGCCACGGCCGATAATTAAATCTCTGTTATTGCACAATGAGAAAGATTTCTTTCACGCGATTTTTTTGCGTCGAATAACTCAAAATAATGATGTATCTAACCTCATTTCTTTAATGCTGTAGATCTTGTGTTTATCAAGTAGTATTGCTTGTTGTGTTTGCTGATATCTACATATGATCAATATAGTAAAATAAGTATCGTAATCAATGTAGTAAAATGTTGTTTTTTCAGCTGTCAATAGGAACAACTATTATAAAACAATAATTGTAATTTCTTATAATATATAGATTTTCCTATTTAAGACATAATGTAAAAATATATACGATTATAAAAATCTTCTCTATCAATGTAACAAATATTGTTACATTGATAGAAAAGTGACCCAAATAAAAAAATTGGCATTTTTCAGATAATGAAAGAATTTAATCTAAAGATTAATATATTTTCATGGAAAAATGATACATATTTCTAGATAATCTTGAAATATTTTAGAATGTTGGTACAATATTCTTGAAACGCTCAATTCTAACTGATGAGAGTTTATCTGTTTTTACAAAAAAAATATCAATTTAGAGAAGGAATAAAATGTAGTAATTACTTGGATTGCAGTGTTAGCATTTTGAAAATTCATAATATAGAGTTGCTATTCTAGAAGCTTCACTCTACTTCCACTTGCAATGAACAATAAAGATAGAATGTAGCTTACACTTAATGCTCAAAGCAAACGCTATAGTTTAAAAAAATATATTATAATTGAAAGTATAACAAGAAATGCATTCCTAATTAAAACGTTCCAATAAAATTCGTGAAGCTTCCACGGGTGCTTTCTATATAAAAGTTATGCTTCGCCGGTTTTCTCCGTGTTCAGATCCATTTTTGAAATGCCAACGTTTCATAAACCTTGTAGTCCACTTCATCAGGGCGAAGAATCTAATACTGAGTTGTTCCTCCGGGCTGTTCCTTTTTATATGCTATTTTTTGGAGTAGAAAGAAGAGAATTTTTTGGAGGGAAAGAAGAGAATTTTGGGGAAGGGGGGGGAGAGGGTCCCAATAAAATTTAAAGAATATTCTACTGAAATATTACTAATTTTTAAATGGATTGCGTTTCTCTCAATGTAACGATATCTATAGGGAAGAAAGAAGATGCAGAAGTGCAGCAATGAAATATTACGTAAAAGTAAAAGAAAACGAGAGATTATAAATAATAAAACAAAGTATTATGATAATACACTAATATTGTACAAATACGAAATGAATATAAGATTAAGTTTATTATGTCTAACAGCAATGTAAGACATAGAAGAATGTAAACAGTAAAATTTAAACAGCAACTAATCACAATTGAAAATAGTTGTATATGTAAGACTACCGTTTTAAAATTTTTTGATTAGTTAGTTTATTATTTAAATTTTACTGTTTAATATTGTACACAGGCAGAATCGTAACATTATAACTGCATGTGTGTCACTTTTTCTTATTACTGACAATCAGTTAATGTAATTGAACCTTCTTAATTTTTTCTCTTATATAATTGATTATATTTTGATCAGTGCTTTTTTCTAAACACTGACTGCGTTCAGTAGAGAAAACAATTTTGCAACTGTTGTAAAATTCGTAAATATGATTAGTTTATGTTTTTTAGATCTATAAGGAATCAAAAGCAAGCAGCAATCGTATTGAAGAATTTTACAACACACAAAGCGCTGTTTTCTTTGCTGAACACAGCTAGAATCTCTTTTTAAACTTTAGTTGTAATTTGAAAAATCAGTTTTTCTTTTGCTTGATTGTTCATCATTTTTATATGGATTTAAAATTAAAATTAAAAAATTTTTTAATTAAATTCAGGATTTCCTAAGGAAAACTACATATAGATTAAAAAAAAAATAATCCTTACAAGAGAAAATACGCGTGCTTAAAATATCTTCAAAGCTAATAGTTTTTGACATCTCTAATACTTTTATATGCAAAATTATAGGAATATTTAAAATATTATATTTAAAAATTATATAATTCCATTTTGAAAAGTAAAGGTGATCATACCTTTTTGCAGCTTCCACTTAGAAAAAACGTAACCAAAATATGTCCTCGAAACCGTTCCACTTTTATTTGAAACATTAATATTTTGATCATTTTCAAGTATATTTTTTACTATTAGTATTAACAATCATAGTTCGATTCAAACAATTAAGTTTCAGTTTTATCTTTTACATTGTTTTCTTTGGTTTTAAAAAAATTGTATTATTTAATATGATAAATATATAAGATTATAAGAACTTTGTATATGTATATTTTAGGCCGAGAAAAGAGCGCACCATAATGCTTTGGAGCGCAAACGACGAGACCACATCAAAGACAGTTTTTCCAGTCTCAGAGATTGTGTACCATCCCTGCAGGGAGAAAAAGTTGCAAGCAGAGCGCAAATCCTTAAAAAAGCAGCTGAGTATATTCAATATATGCGGCGTAAAAATACATCTCATCAGCAAGACATCGATGACCTCAAGAGACAAAATAATCTCTTAGAGTCTCAAAGTAATTATCTCTTTATCTTTTATAATCATATATATACTACACACGAGTTATATTATACAGGAGTAACTAAAATATAGGGATATAACTAAAAATAAGGATATAACTAAAAGATAACAAACTCTGAGTTGAGTTTTCTACACCAAAACATGAAAAAAAGTTCATGTTTTACACTCTGTAAACTCTGTCTTTTCTTCAAAATTATTAAAAATAGCGAAGAAATTCTTTTTGTAGTTTTAATGATTTGTTAGAGCTTATGACAGACAAAATATTATATTGATTTCTTCAAAAAGAGAGCCATAAGCAATAATTTCTTTTTTTTGATAGAATATTTAAAATTTTTATATTTTTTGATAAATTTTGTTAAATGTAACATTCTTAAAAAAAAAACTACTATCATTTTACATAGTTCAAACAGAAAATACTTTTGAGTGATTTAACAATGGATATGTTGATACAAAATTACTTAATAATAAAGCTATCTGGCTAAATTGTTAAATTTTAAATTATGTTTACATTCTATTAATTACACTTTTTGATTCTTAACGCTTACTGTCTCTTTTTTGAGTTTCATTATAATTAATATAATTTATCATTTCAAAAAATTGCAAGTTTTTGTATTTTGTGACTATAAATTAAACAAAAATAGAATATTACTTGTTTCTTGTAATTATTTATTCTTTTAAAGTTCGTTCGTTAGAAAAAGCCTTGCTTACTGGCTGCTACACAGAGACCTGTGAGATGACTAAGTCTGAATCAGTGGGCATAAGTGAGTACAACGACACAGAGTCCGAGTCCTCTGACAGCGAGACTGGTCAAGCAATTCGACAACCAAAAAAGCTAAAAGTGGCTAGCCTGCATCATTGACGACACTCCGTACTTTCTCATTTCTTGATACTTTATTTTCATATGATGATCCGTCTTTCGAGATATTAAGTAAGTGATATAAATTGCGTGTGTATTGTGCGATCATGCGTAGTTAGGTACTTATTTAAGTAAATCATTAGTGATGTTCTATAGCATATTTGTAACATAGCAACTTTTGAAAAGTGAGAAATGTTCAAGAACGTATGGCGAATACTGGTATCTTGTAATACTTATGTTTATAACTTAATTGTATATAAATACACGTTAAGCAACAATACTGTATTATTAACACAATATTGTTAAATTATATCCGTTGGTCTCTATCTTTAATTTCGCGAGCAGTCTGTCTATGAATAATCATAATTATCAACAATTATGTAGTAATGTTTAGACTTTTGTATCATAATTTCGATATCGCATGTCTCACACAATTTTTTATTGTGTGCGGGAATCGATTGTTGCAATCGACTATCAAATTATAAATATATTAATACAGTCCAATATTACGTAATTAATATTTGATTATTGTTAATGGCGACTAACTGATTCAGAGTATCAACATATTAATGTGTCGATATTTTGATATTGTTTAAGACTATGCAATATTTGGTTAATAAAGTTTAATTTGTAACTCATGTTGTATTAAAATAATTAACATTAATTTGTCTAGAAATAGAAAGCGACATTTAAATCGAAAAGATAAATTTATGAAAAAGACACTTATACATTTGTAATGAATATTTTATAGATTTATAACATTATATTATACTTTATTCGTGCCGCGAGTTATGGGATGTATAGGTGTTTTTTGTGTGCGTGTAGTTCCTGTGCACGCGCGTGCGCACACATACATGCGCGCGTGTACACACACACACACACAAAATATCTCAAATAGACAAAAATTTTAAATAACTTACACAATTCACAAATTAAATCATTACCATTGTGATCATTATTAGAAAAAAAAAAAAATGTAATTAGAAAGTTTTACACATAAATCTATCTGCCGAAATGTAACAAAAAATCTTAACATAACAAGAAAAATGAGAGATTAAAGTGTCATTAGGATTTATTTAAATTAACTTAGTTTACAAACAGGAAATGACACGATCCTAAAATTTTGTTCGACTATTTGAAAAGTTCACTAAGATGAAAAGTAGATGCGATTTATTAATCGCTGGAAATTCTAGATGCGACCAGCAAATGTGCCTGCTTCAACCTGTTCATTCCAGTTCTCTACCCAGGCGATCGGACATATTGAATTAAAAACTCTTTTGAAGTACTGACAAGCCTCGTAATTTTCGTTGTGCTTCTTCTTACATCGATGGAAGTCTACGTAGCTCTGATAGCAATATCTACAAAGTATCAGATTCAATTAAACATATTAGCCTTCTTTTTTTTTTAAATACGAATATGATATACTTCTATCATGCTTTTGAGACAAAATAACTTTTTCTTTCACTATTTTATAAACAATTTATAACATGTGTTTACATACATATATACTAGCGCTTACTATAAAAGTAAAGAATTTAGATAGTTACAAATTTTATTAGCATTTAATAAGTCAACTTAAATTGTGACAAGAATTTTTCTTTCATATTTAATTTTTGTAATTTTAATACGATGAAATATTAATAATATACATATTATAATTACAAGGCAGTAAAACATAAAATGTCATACTATTGATATATTTAAATATAACACATTTATTTTTATTAAAATTGGTACACAACTGGTACCACAGTTATTTTCGAAACTTGGATAATTAAATAATGACATTTCGTGCATTATTTTGTAGTATGTTTGATGGATGAGCTATTTTGTTGATAATGATTGCAATAACAAAAAAAATTGGTAAGCATAATTATACTTTTCTATAAAAAAATTTGAGGGTTTTTTAAAAATTGATCATGCTAGGATAATTTTCACTAATGAAGATACATATTGATTATGAGAGATTATTTGATCTTTACCTGGTTTGATTCTGATTAGGGAACCTAGGATCGTAGGGTGCGGTGTGCCACTTCTCATCTGAGTCCGAAAACTTGGTCATGATTGCGACAGTACAGGACACTGCTTGACAAGCTATAAATTATTTAATCTCTAAATTTCAGCATGAATTCGTGTCACATTTCATCTCCTCTCTCCCTCCCTCCCTCCTTTAAACCCCTTTTTATTTTGCCCGTAAATGTAAATTCTATCATTTCTCTCTCGCTCTTGTCCATTCGTCTCTCAAAGCACACACACATACACGACACTGTATCACAAATGAGTCCGTTTCTCACGGCACTTGTTCTCTTCTCTATTCTCTTTCGTTCAGATCGTTGAAAAAGAAATTTTATCTTAAATGAACATAAAAGTTCATAGCGAAACAAAATGAACGAAAGGTGCATTTGAGAAGTATCTGTTGTTTTAAGAATTAACTATCAACTATAAGTGTCTTAGAAAAAAAGTAATGAGCCAACATATGCAAAGACGAATTGTCGAAGCTATTTAACCAACGGTCGCGTGTTATCCTCCTCCTGGCAGCAAACCTCCCGATACTTCTTTACTTCTGCCATATATAGGGACCACGCGTCCTTCGGCTGTTCTGCTGTCTGTTCTGTCTTTGGTTTCGCTACCACACCAGTCTTTAAGATCCTACCACCCCTCCTCTTGCCCACCATCAACGGCGGTGGTACTACAGGCTTTTCCTCCAAGACCGAAGTAGTGGGTTTTTGCATGGTAGGTTGCATCTGTTCCTGCATCTTCTTGAACATTTCCATAAAACTACCGTCATTCTTGAAGGCATTTGGTTGTGGGACAACAGCGGCCGTTTGGTGTATTGCCATCTCTCCGTGTTCCTCCAATGCGTCGGATTCATAGGAGGTTCCCCTGGCATGGTGCCTGCGACTCTCCCTGTACCTGTGCCTGTCTCTATCTCTGCTGCGATTACGACTGCGACTTCGTTTCTTGTCTCTCGAACGAGACCTACCACGCGACCTCGAACGCGATCTGTCTCTTCTTGAGTACTTGCGTGATCTTTCTCTGTCGCGATCCCGGTCTCTGTCATTGGACCTGGACCGTCTGTGGGAGCGTACCGGAGACGATCTGGATCCGCTACGACGGCGCTTACGTCGCTCCTGGAGCGGTGAGTCGTTCCGTGAGGATCTACTGCTTCGATGGTGGTCTATGGCAGGCGAAGGCGAACGTCGCGTACCTGCGACTCTGCTCTTGTGGCTGTCATGTGTTGTGGTATAACCTGTGCTATACATGGGAGGCGAGGGCGGAGTGGGTGGCGATTCGGTATTCGATCTGGCGCTGCGTTCGTACCGCTTTGAGTCCATCACGCTGGCGGGTCGAACCGAAGGATGGACCTATAAGGATAGAAACTGCCTTCCATGAGTATATGGCTTGTTCTGGATCTTCCCGCCTTCATATGACTTGGGCGTTTTTCATTTTTTTTTTGTTTTTTTTTTAGTGTGCATTTGCGAGACAGACGGACTTATATAGAGCAAGAGAGCATATAATGTAGACACAACAAATGATAATTGATACATGACGAGTCCGAAGATACTTTGTATCAAATCAAAAGCATTGCCTGCGATCATCAAGTTGTGATTTAACGGATAAAGTATCAGCATCAGCACTGTAATCGCACTGTTTTGTAGTAGCTGTATTCAGTAGAGAAAGCAGCTTTGTAACAGTTGTAAAATTCTTAGATTGTCATTCGCTGGATCTAAATGTAAAAACTAATCATATTAAAAAAATTTTATAACAGTTGCAAAGTTGCTTTCTTTGCTGAACACAATCAGTGCCTCGAGGAGACAAGAGAAGTGTCTCAAGAACACTGATTGTAAAGCAATTTTGCTTTACATATTGTGTCCTTTTTGCAGTATATTTGGAAATACACAAAACACGTGAGAGAGAGAGAGAGAGAGAGAGAGAGAGAGAGAGAGAGAGAGAGAGACAGAGAGAAGGGTAAAAAAAAAATCCTAAATTTAAGTCCGATTTTAATCAAATCCTATATGTTGCCAGCTAATTTCGGAAACTCTTCATTCTCGAGGAAATTAACAAAGAAAAATGGACGGAATGAACATATTGGATTCCACTTGGAAACGATGAAAATCGTTCCTTTTAGATTAGGATGTCGGGAAAGAACAGAAAAGAGGGAGAAGAAAGGAACACGAGTCGTCTATTCGACGACTTTTCTCGAGATCTACAATTAACGGAATGGCGATACCCTCTATTCGCGCGTGCGGACACGGCTGTCCCGTCGAGCGTCTCGCTAGACCACTTTAACTAACGCTAATTATCTATATGCGTAATACCTTAATCTGCCGTGCAGTTGAAAAATCGCCCTTTGAGAAACACTGTGCCAGACGACGACGTTGTTACGTCATACACCTCCAAGAGAGTTTCCTCGTCGAACGTGATAAGACGTGCGAGACGAGATTACGAGAACAATCCACCTCAAACGTTATGAGACATAGAAGGGTATCTCTCCTAGTCCTCCTTTTTCTTCTGGTTTAATGAATTCTTCCACATCTAAAATGCTGATTGGATGATCTAAATGAATACACCAATAACAGCGAGCGCTCACGCAACTGTTGAGTCCGCTGAACGCAGCTATTGATTATGCGATCAAAATTGACTCTTGATATTTATCAATTTCTATCATGTGACTTAAGACCGCAGCACACAGACTCTTGCATAACGTATAACATATAGTGCATAAAGGAATCGACAAATCAGAATCTTTTCTTTCCTCTCATTCCATGGAAAAGAAGAATTTTGATTGATTGAGTCTCTTATGCACTATGCATTATGCGTTATGTAAGAGTCTGTGCTGTAATCATTATTTTGATGCCGAAAATGAGCGTTGAGATACCTTAAAGGTGTCATTTCATGCGATGCTAATAGCATTTTTTATTAGGTGCATCCAGAAGCATGATTGTTCACTGAGCGCTCAGTGAGCTCTTGCATTTGATTGGCATATTCCATTAGATCTAAAAAATGTAGATCACACAGTTAAAAAAACTCATTGAGCTCCCAGTGAGCGGTTGTGCTTCTGGATACACCCATTGGCAGAGCTGGTGCACACTCAATGCATTTTAAAGCCATTATACACAAATCGACGTAAAGATATACGTTTAATAAGAATATAGAAACAAATTAAACCGCGAAATCCTCCATACATTTTATTGTGGTATTTAATAAAATATACATTGGATATTTTATTAATTAAGATATCTCACTTTTACATTCAGATTAAGTTAGTGTACAACAGCTTTAATGTGCACTGAATGCGCACCAGTAGAAAACGTTATAAGACGGGGAGCATAGACTCTTGCATAATGCATAACAATATAATAATGTATGAGAAAATAAATCAATCAAAGATCTTTAAACGAGAAGCACAGACTCTTACATAACACATGAGGCACAATTGAACCAGTCAGAATTCTTTATTTTGAAAGAAAGAAAACAGAGAACTTTGATTGGTACATTTTTTTTATTACAGAATACGCGTTAGGATATATCCATACAAACTTGCATAACAAAAATTATCCAATCACATTTTACGTGCGTCTTTATAAAAGAAATACAAGCAGCGAATTTTTTTATGCATACGTTTATGCGATTATTCTATGCAAGTTGTGTAGATATAAGCGGGGAACACAGACTTTTACATAATGCATAACACATAAGACATAAGAAATTCAATCAATCAGAGTTCTTTATTTCATGGAAAGAAAGGAAACAAAAAACTTTGATCGGTATATTTTTATATGCATTATGTGTTATGTGTTATGTAAGAATCTGTGCTCCCTGTTTTACTTCCTTTTCTATGAAATAAAAGATTCTGATTGGTTGATTTTCTTATGCCTCATTGTTTCATACGTTATGCAAAAGTCTGTGCTCCCCGCTTTAAACGCTTGATAATCGTTTTGTTCGTGTTTACTTAGGCCTATTCCACACAAACTTGCATAGTCGCATAACTATATGTATAAAGAAAATTATCCAATCAGATTTCTGTCATAAAGACAAACGTAAAATACAATTGGATAATTTTCTTTATGCATATGTTTATGCGGCTGTACAAGTTTGTATAGATATGTCTTTATGCATAAAACGCATGATGTATTGTTTGGTTCACCAAGTAATAAAGAAGGATAAAACAATACATCATGCGCTTCATGCGTAACTTGAAACGCATCCTGTATTATGCGTTATGCAAGAGTCTGTGCTCTTCGTCTTAAGCTGGCGGAACATGATGCTTGTTTTCCTGCTGGATTGTTAGCTAGAATAAATTTTTGCCATCGTATTGGCTACAATGCTGTCAGTACCACAGCCAATACAATGACAAGATTCTAATTTAACTAGGAATCCAGCAAGAAAACACAAACATCGTGTGTTACAGGCTTAAGATTGATCCATATACTTTTGTATAGTATAGACTGGGTTTGGCAGAACGATGCGAAAGACAAGATATCGGGGCAATGTATCCTTTTTTGCGCGCGCATCTTGATATTTATATTACTAAAAAATATAAAATTTTTGTAATCGGCTGTACATATCTCAAAATGAGATGAAAATTATAGAAATGAGCAAATTCACTAGAATATTCATAATTTAATTGGTGAATAACTAGTGAATTTGGGCCTCTATTCTTGGAAAAAGATGTATAACAAAATTCTAAAAAAGTATTATAGTATATGTAACGTATATTGTAGTATTTTCTTAGACTTTCGTAAACGTCACAAAATAAAAGAGGAAACCCAATTAAATAATATACGAGCCAAAAGAGTGATCTTGGGTATTTATCATGAAGTCTGTTCATGTTTGTACTTTTTATACTCAGTATCTTTGTTTTCTCTCTTTTCAACGCCCAAATATGTATCTATCTCATTTTAAGTTCAAACATTTTTGGAGATTCAAACAACGCAAACAAACCCAGCAAATAAGAATGGATTGTATTGGGGAAAGATCTGTCCTTTTTTGTGTTATGTGGAATACAGTTTTCTCGTTGACTGAGGCTTGTGCCTCTTGCCTTGTAGCCACGCCCGAATTGGTTTCGGCAGCGCAAATGAAACAAACTTGTTGTACAAATGAGCTTTAATGCTTGCTTTTTACAGCATACTTTACAATAGTACGTAATGATAGAAAAATGACCGGCTTGCGCACCGATTCGCACGTATACGTTAACGATGGCGTCGTACTAAACAACAACGAACGAACGGCCGCAGGCTATACGGCCGCACGCATGCGCCCCAAGTGGGCCTTAACAGCGCCACGCTAGCCTAAGTAGCGCCACTAAAGCACCATAGAATAGTAGATATGTAAATGCGCGGATATTGGACCGAAGGAATTTTCTTACTTATCCTAGCAGGCGCGAAGCGCGAACAGATCAAAATGAATTGAAATGGATTCAGATTTTTAGAAATACGGACTTATGAATGTTAAAATGCTTATGTATGAATGCTAAAATGTTAAAATCCTTTTTGATTCTGCATTTTTATTCATTTATAGGAATTGCATAGAGCATATCTCTATGCCTTTCAATCTAAAAGTAATATTAGCTTTTTCTGTGCATTGTGAATACTGTTCAATTCAAAATTTTGAATAGAAAATGCAGTTTTTCAATCTGATTGCATCCAATTGAATTTAATTGAATTCAATTGAATCCAATTAAATCCAAAAAAAGTATTTGCTATTTAAAATACGTATTGAATAGAAAAAAATTTCAATCCATTTTAATCCATTCTCGTTTGTTGGAAACCTGGAATGAAGTCGGAATGGAATCCAATAGGAATTATTTCGTTTTCCTTAAAAAAAAAAAAACAATAGACATCTAAGGAATAATTAAATAATTCCGATCGGAATCCATTCCGATTTTATTCCATGATAGATGACCTATTATGGAACATATCGGAATAAATTTCCATCGGAATTGTTCTGTTTTCCCTAGAAAACACAATAGAAATCTAGGGAATAATTGAATAATTTCGATCGAAATCCATTCTGACTTGTTCCATATTATGTGCCCTGATTCGGTTTCTAATTAGGAGAGAATCTTTTAAACGGAATAGATTTTTATGATTAGACGCCATTTGCAATTAACCTTACTGGAGCGGTCCGGCCTTACCTTAGTCCTGGGCATGATAGATACCCTGCTTAGTTCTGCTCATAGTGTAAAAATATAAGATGTAACATTCTTGCGAATGCGCAGTAAGATTATGAATTTGGACCCAAATTTGATTGGATATTCTAGTATGCTACTATTATACGCAAAAAAGTGCATTTGGATTCTGTGATTATTAATTGAAGAGTATATTGATTATTAATGATCGGTAATAAAAAAAATTGCAACATTTTTCTCTCTTTCCGAATAAATATTATAAAACTGTTTTTATGACTTTTTATTTTAAAGTTTATATAGAAAACAGCACTTTGTCAATGATAATAAATCGAAAAATATTATATTATAATGTCCATAATTGGTAATTATAATATAATGAGTAATTTAATTCTCAAAATCAGATTTTTCATGTTTTAAGTCTTGACAGAATTTCGCGAATCCAATAATTTTTAATATTCTTTAAAGTTCGATTTATATTTTAGTTAATTTTAGAGAATTTATAGTGATTAAAATTCTAATAAAAATACATTTTATTTAAGACCGTATAACTTACATAACATTGTATTTTCTTAGGATATCTTAATTTTATCAGATTGATTCCATTCTGATCTAAAACATTAAATCGTCCATATGATTAGCTTAGGACATTTGTAATTATTATTGTACTAATATAAAACGTCCTTAAAATATTCTATTTTGATCTGAAAAAATTTTGATCACTATTTTCATAAATTGTATTTCTCAACTTTCGACCTATATGTCATATACATTTCTGTATTTTACGTATATTATAGAGACATATCTTGCAATTTAATTGTTTATTTTTTAAATGTATACATAAATATCCCACATAGACATATTAAAAATTATCCTTTGTTTCGGGAAGAACTTAAGGGGATTCTAAAGCAAAACTCAAACTTCGACAAAATCACTAGAGGTCGCGCCGCGCGCCGCACATTGATATGTCTTTTTATACTAACAGCAATATTTCACGCAACTTATGATAGAGTCAATTGAGCAGTCACACGTATGTACGTGTCAATTTTCGTAAAACAAATTCGTCGCGATAAAGCATCTAAGTCTAATTCTAAGAACTCGATGTTGTTTGTTCGTGTGAACTACGTGTCTGGAAATTACTATTTCATATGTATAGGTTGCAAAGTTTTCATATTAAGCAAATGTTGTCACGACTTGACAGCTAAGACGCCATGTTACACTAAGAAATGGTAAAAAATATATTAATTTTGAAATTTTTGATCGTTCTCGTCATAGACTCCACTTTTCAGACACGTATTAATGTATATACTTTAATTCTGGTAAAGGATTTTCGAATCGGAGAAAGAGAAAAAAGTATTTCTTATACAAAAATTATATGTGCTTACGTCGTGATGTATTGTCTGTGACGCATACTCATTTCCTGCATTTTGTATCATAACGTGGATATACCCTTGTAAAAAATGCGCAGTAGTGCTTAGTAATATTTTTCTACAAGATTTTAACATCCTAAAAGACATTTTACGTCCACTGGATAAAAACAGAATGAAATTTATCCAGAAACACATCCTAATGGTATCTAAATGGATGATATCCTATGGATGTAGAATAAGCGGACATATAAACATCCTTAGTATATCCTAATTCCTAAATACTTCCTAGTTTTTTCAGGTACGTACTCTGGATGTTTGAAAATCCCTCGACATAACATCTGTAAGATATACCTAGGATCAATTTTTACTGTGTGGGATGTGAGAACACAATCAATAAACTAGAAATTAAATGCCTATAACGGTTGAAGCTGCATCTTTAATGCTTATATAATTTAATGTGAATTATATATATATATA